GTGCAGGACAAATGCTGCAGGGAGTTCAGCGAAGTGACTTCCTCCTCTGCAGATCTTCCCACCAGTGATGAAATCCTCTACCAACCATTCTCTGTCCTTCACCACACCTACATGATTTCTGATCTCTTAAAAAGAAATACTAAAAGAAAATGTAGCGAAGCAGGGTTCCTTGCACCACTTTGGAAACACAGCCAGCAGCCTGGTGTCATTCCCTGATTCTCTTCACAGAATCCAGCAGGAGAAAAGAGCCCTTATTTACACACAGCCATCTGCTGATTTTTTCTCCAAAGCACCCCCAAGTCCTCATGAGAGCTGCCCTGCGAGGGCCCTCACCCTCAGGCAGCTGCAGTTTGCCACAGGGAGAGCTGGAGTTAGGTGCTGGTAGCACCAGCCCGCGCTTTAGGAAGGCACCCCTGAAATGCCGGATATCTTTTATCCGGTGATGGTTGCTGTTGGTAAGGGGAGCTGACACTTGGCATCTGTGAGCTGCGATGTGAGCGGGCTGTTTGCTGCATGGGGGCACTCAGCCACTCGCTGGGAAACAGGCCAGAATCCTCCCATCCAGGGCCTTCCAGTTTGTCAGCACATTCAGATCTGTTTTCTAGCAGGAAAGATGCACAGACAGCAGCACTTCAGCCCTAGCACTGCTGCAGTAAGCATTTATTGCAGTGCAGTGAGCAGTGCAGCAGCAAGTGCTGGGGAGCCGAGGGGTGTGCAGCACCCTGACCCCTCACAGGGATGGCAGTGCTGTACGTGCTGGGGAGGCAATAGCTGCCTGTTTCCTGTGCTCCTGGCACTGCTCAGCGCAGCTTCATGGTAGGCAGCACACACAGCCTCACAGTAGGGCCCCTTAACACTCAGCCCCTGCCCTGCTCACGTCCCAGGGCCATTAACAGAGCGGAACAGGCAGGTTCTGGTCAGAAGGCTCAGTTCTGTCAATGAATCCACCCACTGCAACACTGTCTGAGACCTGAAGGAGATGAGGACGAGGAGCTCTGGAACTGTGCTCACCCACCCCAGCAGATGTTGGTGACCCTGCATCTCCGTGTCATGCTGTGAGGCGGCACGATGCCCAGGACGCAGCTTTGCAGATCGGTTACTGCTTCCTCAGTGTCCTGCACCCAGGGAGCCACATCGCCCACCTGGCCTCTGTGTGCAGAGCCTCGTGCTGTGCCAGTCTCCAATGCAGCAAGGCTGTTTTCTGACATTCTCCAAGGGCTTTAGTTCTGCAGAGCGGGGAAAGCCAATACAGAAAAGGTATGCAGAGGGATTCCTTTGTACTGAGGAGGAACTGACACTGAGCAGTGATACTATGAACCATGACAAATGCATTGCCGGGGCTCAAAAAACATATTTAGATAAATTCAGTCTTTCAGTGGAGAAAAAAAAAAAAAAAAAAAAGCTACAGAAACTACAGAAACATGAAGTAGGTGTAGAGAATTAGAGCAGGTGGGTTCACCAGGCAAATGTCCAGCATTGCAAAGCCAGTGCCCACTGTCCACAGTGCAGCCCAGCCGCCTCGATGCCCATTGCAGCAATCACGGTAACAGCGCAGCCAGCCTGGGCACACTGAGCTGTGCTGATGGAGGACAGGGCAGGGGCTGCAAGGCCACGGTTTGGCAGGGCACTGCCTGCTGTGCCTGGGTGATGTGGCTGCTGGCAGTGCCTGGCAGCAGCCTCCCGTGACACGGGCATTGCTGGGTTGAGTCAGGCACAGCTGCGGTAGGCACGGGCTGTGATGGGATCCTGCAGCACCACTGGGATGGAATGAAACTGGCTCTGGCCTTGGGCAAGGGGGTGTGGGAGCAGGGAAGGGCACATGGGCTGGGCAGGGATGCTGGGGCTTATCTGTGTCACGGAGGTTCCTCTTTCCCTCCTCCTCCTTCTCCTCTTTCTCTCCTCCTCCTTCTCCTCCTCACACTGGAATACAGCTGCCCCAGCCCTCAGCAGAGCAGTGCCTCACCTGGAAGGGAAAAGTCTGCACTGAAACACCGCACCCGGGCCATGGCACAACTGGGCATCCTAGTTTAAGGGCCCAGTTTGGGGCCTGCTTTGCAGGGGGGTTGGACTCAATGATCTCTGGAGGTCCCTTCCAGCCCCTACAATTCTATGATTCTGTGATCTGCAGCCAAGGGCTGAGCAGCAAGGGATACTTCACAGCCAGAAGCTGTGCAGCCAGGGGCACCTCAGCACTGCAGCAGCTGCAGCCCGGCACTGACACTGCATCAGCTCCTGACTGAGCCATCAGAAGTCAAAAAGGCCATACAAGAGTTAAGGCTCAACAAAGCTACCATAAATATTATGCAGCTGTTTATTATGGTGACATTTCCACAAGGAAATCCTCCTGTCTGCACAGCACAGGAAGCAGTCCCCTGGAATAAGCACACCCAGCAGACAGACAAAGACCACTTGGCAGCAGAACGGCTGCATGCTGGCGTGGGTCACCTCCGTGCTGCAGTGGCTGCAAGGGACACCTGCACAGCCCAGAGCTGCTGAGCTGCAGATGCAATGCAGCTGTCTGCCAAGTGCTGCAGGCCATTATGAACTCACTTTTACAGGGACTTTATCACAGAGTGTACCACTCATCCCTCAGGGGAGGGATCCCCAGCTGAGGCTCAGTGGGCAGCTACTGACCCAAAGCAGGAAGAGGAACAGTTGTTATTATCATTTTAACTAAAGCAACTGCAGATGCCATTCCTTACCTTTTTCTAAAATGCTGAGGTGAGCTCAGTCCACATAAAATGCAATCCCTGTTTTCCCATTGCATTGCTGACTTTAATAACCTTGCTAATATTCTAGGGATCAAGTTCCTCTTGCAGCGTTGGCTCAGCAGCACAGCCCTGAGCAGAGCCAATCAGTGTGCTCTGCACATTAGCCAAGCCACAAATGAACTCCTCTTCTTGAGTCCCGACAGCAGGAGCCACACAGAGAGGGCACATGGCAGTGGGTACAGACGGCACCAGCAAAAGTTGCTTCTTGCCACCAGGAGGAAATATTTCCCAGTGAGAGCCACCGCCACTGTACAGCCTCCCCTGGGTGCGGGTCTCCAGTGCCAGAGGATTTCAGGGCGCGAAGGACTGGGGGAGCCCTGGCATGTCCTCCCATGATGGCTGGGATGGTGGGCTCCCCTCCACCGGGGCTGTGCTGCAGATCTACAGGTCAGCCTGTAGTGCAGTCTCGTGTACGTTCTGAAATGCTTCAGAAGAAAGAAAAGAAAGAAAATACCTCTCCTTGTGCTGAGATATAGGGCATGCAGGGTGCCCATGGCTCAGCCCCCTTGCCTGCCTGCTTCTGCTCTGTGCCTGCTCCTGCCCTGAAGAGTTGACGGTATTTTCTTCACTGGTGCATGGTGAGCTGCCTTGGACGTCAACGTAGCAAGGAAAGAGTTAATGCAGAGAGACAATGGAATTTGCTGTGGGAAATGTTATTAATTTGGCATTTGATTTATGCAGAGTCAGGTGAGAAGCTGGGGCACTGAGCAGCTTCACAGGGCCTGAGCTCAAAAACCAGCTCAGGAGCCATCCTGATACTCTGAAGTGTCAAATTCAAACACTGATTTTAAATCTTCCGTTTCAAAATACCATTTCAGAAGCACAATTTAGGGAAAGCTGCCCCCTGCAGCGGAAATAATTTCAGGGAGAAATGGTGCCACTGACTACAGTGGTGACCACACAGGAGCTGAACAGGAGGTAACAAACTACATTGTGTGCTGTCTGCGTCTGGAGAGCAGCAGCCCCACAACTCTCCACCACATCCTGTGTGCGAAAAGCACCGCAGGGAACGGGTGGTGCTGCCAGAGTGAACGCCATCTGAAACGCAGTGAAAGCACTGCTGGACTCTGGCTAATCAACTCCTCTTGGAAACTTGATTTGTATTGATTGGGAACATCCAGTGATGGAGATTAATACCAGGCAATGACTACACACTGTGCAGCACTTGTTTGCAGACAGTGGCTTTTCACTTACAAGGCGCTATATTGCCAATTCCCAAAGGGTAAAAAATAAAGTGTTCTGATACCCGGGCAATTCCAGAACATTCTGGACAAAGTGCTGTAGCAGATGATCTGCAGCCTCCCTCTAGAGGTGCCATATGATGTCACACTCAGTGCCAGCTACCCCCCGTGTCACATCCCCACACCCCCTTGTGTCAGCTGTGCTCGGCTCTGTCCTCCCCCAGGCATCCCCATCAGCTCCCAGGACCTGCTGTCTGGTTGCTCCCCTCTCCCCTGCTCCCAGCTCCCTCCCACCCTCCGGGCTCACACGGCAAGGCATGGCGGCCCTCAAGTAAGCTTTCATACCACTTTATGAAATACCCAGAGACAGAACTTAAAGCTTTCCCCAGACACGCTTACCTTGCTGCCTTTCACCAAGCAGCACTCCATGTATTTGATGGTTCTCTTCTCAAACACTCTATTTGCTTTCTTTAGACTCAAATGAAGAAGGAACAAGAAAACTGGAGTGCAGTGTGATAGCTGTTCCTTTTTCCTGACTCAGTGTGGATGGGGGAAGCTTTCCACTGCATAGGCTGGGAGTTCAGTCTGTCCATCTAGAGGCCGAATGCAGCCCTGCACAGTGATACACCTTCTTCCTTTGGCCCAGACCCCACTCACCTGTCGCTGGCTCAGGATCTCGACTTTGGGTGGCACAAAGTTCTGATCTCTGCAAACACCTGGGCAGCACATATGTCCTACAGGGAGGAGAGGCAGGGTGGGCTTCTCTTTGTTGGTGTTTCACATTTTGGAGCTATCCTCACAGGTTTGGTTATACAAAGAATGATGGTTGCCTCTCTAACAACAGACTGTGAAGCAGTTATTGATTTACGAGGAAGCTTTGCAGGGTGAGCAGCCCTACAGCAGCCAGGCAACACCTGCAGTGGGACGAGCAGCTCCTGCACTGTGCTGCTGCTGTGCACAGAGGGGATGCGGTGCAGTGCTGCTGGACACGGGGATGTGTGCGTTGTGCTCTGCTGCATCTTGCCACGTGTGTCAGTGCACAAGCAGAACATGAAGCTTCCTTGCTTTTTTTTCCTGCTATTGGTCAGAAGCCACCATTGCAGTCTGTGCACATACAAAGAGAAGCAGACGGGAATCAAAGCTCTTATGATATATGACTGCAGTACTAATAAGGAGATTGCCACAGTCAGACACACACAGGATATAGCCCTATGAACACCGTGCTGCAGGGCTGTGTGGGCTCCATGTGGGATACCCAGAGACCTCAAGCACACCTCTCCTGGCAAGAGCCTCTGATTAACACATAGCTGCCATCGATGAAAAGAAATGCTGCACCTGTGGCTATTTGCATTCTGTTCCACTGTTTCACTGCACTCTTCACCAAAAAAATTACCATTATTTTAATTTCAAACACAATCTATACAAAGTATCTGTCCGTACACACCAAGGTACCTTGCTTCCAGCTAACCACTCATAAATATTCATTAGAGAATTATGGAGCTATTAATGAGGGTAACTGCTGAGGAGCATTCATTAGCTGTCTTCCACAAGAAATGAAATTTGCATTTTTCAGTGTGGAAATCAGCTTTGTGAAACGGCACCTTGAATGGCAACAAAACTCCTCGTAAGGCAGTGAGCACACAGCCATTGTCAGGGTGCTGTGCGCTGTGCAGCTGAGGCACTTTATGGAGATGACAAAAAATGCTTTTCGTACACCTTAACTGGAATCACAGAATCCTTGAGGTTGGAAAAGACCTCTGAGATCAGCTCTGTGCCACACTGGCTGTCCCTGTGCATTTCCCATTCTGAGCACAGGGACTCGCTTCTGCCAAACTCACGGTGGCATGGAGACGCCTCTGTCAGTAACTGTGATTCATCCTGAGTCGCACACTGAGGTCACTGCCTTCACGTTTCCTCTGATTAATTTCCCAGCAGGACACATCGCAGCGCTGTGTGGGACGAGCTCATGTTTCCATGGCACAAGTGACCACAGTCCCACAGGAGGGACCTCCGGGTCCCATACCAGGCCAGGCCAGAGTGCCTGCAGCGACAGCGGGTGGGGAATGGAGCTCCCATGGAGCTGGTGATTGTCCTACAGCTGCAGCTAATGGAAATGTACAGGAGAATCCCAGGGGAGTGCATATTGGGTAGAGCAATTATTCCTCAGCCTGAAAGGCAAGACAGGAATCACATTCCCTAATGCCTCTCCTAAAGCAATAATTAATAGTTGCTCTTTGGCACTTGTATGGTACAATAATGGCATCGGAGAATGGGGAATGCAGTGCAGCCTGAGGTTCCCCTCAGCGGTGATCATTCGTAACAGAAGAGCTTTTACCCAAGAAATGAGAAGTTTCTGGATTTCAGGTGGGATTCACAGCCACAGCCCAGGTCAGTGGGCTACAAAGGCATCTACAAAGCCGACCTGCTTGTCTCTGCCTGGGCTCCACCTGTCTCCAGCAGAGAGCTCCTGGGGACCTGTAACAGGAGACAGAATATCAGAAACCAGCACAGGAGGTGGAGCCTTTTCCTCAGGGCTGCTGGGTGCTGCAGAGCGGTGCCAGGCTGCAGGAGGCTGCAGAGAGCTGAGCTCCCATTCTGCTGCTCCCACATTGGCCCTGGGTTACTTCTCCAAAAGAATGGTGATGCATTGGCACAGCTGCCCAGGGGCGGGGAGTCCCCGTCCATGGAGGAGTTCAGACCCGCAGGGATGTGGCACTGACTCAGCACTGAATTCGCTCTTCATAACCCAGTGCTGAGCAGGGGTCATGCAAATAAGGAGATACAGGCATTCCTCCTTCCCATAGGTGAATCAACATCCATCCATCCATACGTGATGAATCGGAATTGCATTTTGCTTTGCTCAGATGTCTTGGAGGTGAGTTTGAAGCCGCCTGTGCCAGGGGTGAGCCCCAGGTGGAAAGCCCAGCCCAAAGCCTTGGGACAAGAGCCGGCATGCAAACAGGATGCTGAGGGCTTATCCTAAATGCATGGAATTACAAAACACTTTCTGACTTTCATGGGTGATTCACAGTTTTTACTATTTTGGGCAGAACTTTTTGAAGTCATCAGCATGGTTCCGCAACAGATTCCACTCCCCAAACCTTTGCCAGATGTTGAAACACCAAACACATCTGACCCATGGATCTCCTTTGCTTCCTCTCTCCCTGAACACGATGTTAACTTCTCTGGTTTCGGATGGTGGAAGCACTCAGCAATTGGGAAAAGCGCCCGCTCAGCATGCTGCTGGCAGCTGCGCTGTGGGATGCTGGTGGTGCTCTGCTGCCTGCAGGCACAGCACACTGCTGGGTGCGAGTGCTTCCTGCAGGCACTGCAGCAGCCCGGCCTGAGCACTGCGTTCAGCATCACCACAAAGCACAGCCCTCGTGGCTGACGTCGGATTAAATCAGAGACAAGGTAACAGATTTAGCTGGATCTAATGTAAAGTTTTAGCACGGTGTGGATGAAAAACGCTGGAACTGGACAGTACACTTGTCCCAGCCATGTGGCACTGAGGCCTCCCACCAGGAGTGCTGTGGGATGTGCGGGAGGGGCCAGCGCTGGTCCCAGATGTGTCCCTGTGGTGCCGCTGTCCTGATGTTCTCATTGGGAGCACGGTTCAATTGCAGCGTTCATAATGGAGTACCGCTCCACTGGGCCACACCAACACGCAGTTCCTGCCACGAGCTCCCAGCAGCAGTCCATGGCACAGCCTCCTTAGCTGCTGTCCCCACTCACACCGCCACCGGGCAGCATTTGGGCCACAGGCAGCGCAGGGCGGCCAGCAACACAGGGCTTGTGGTGCTACCAAACCACACCAGTGTCCATAGGAGAGCAGGCACAGCACGCACAGATGCGTTTGCGTAACAGGAGGAAGGAGAACATCTCCATTATTAAGGAGGAATGTTTCCCGGCACAGCCTTCCTGCAGCTCAGCAACCCCTGGTGCAGCAGGCAGGCATCACCGGTGCTTCGCAGCCGCACACCTCCCGAGTGGGAGCGGCTTCCCGTCAGGCTGGTTTCAGGCCGGTTTCAGGCTCTCCCCACTTTCCATCACCCCACCCTGACGCACTGCTGCTGCAGTTGATAGCACTGCACATGCTCTAACCAGGGCTGCTCCTCGGCTGTGCAAGGGAGTGTCGGGGAATTCCCCGCGTGATTCAGGTGTGACCTCCACACTCAGCTCCAGGCTGTGCCACCCCGAGCTGAAATTTTCCATTTCCCCTCTGTGCGGTGTAGCACCTCGACCCCTCCTGGCAGCACGGTGTGCTCTCCGCTGCCCCAGCCGGGAACACAGAGCACGCCGGTGTGAGAGCTGCAAGCACCCTAGTGTTCCTGCCCAGGGAAGCAGAAAACATGGAAGAGAAACCTTGAAAGCCACAACACCCACATACTACAGCCCTGGGGCTCTGCTGGAAGGGACTCTGCATCTCTTTGACATCTCATGCATGAGAGGGGTGAAACAAAGCTCTAAATATTGCAGCACAGAGTGCAGAAATGAGGGCTGACCCTGCACACTCAGCACTCAGTAGTGCAGCATGCCCTGCAGCTGGCAGCCTAGAGACTGCAGCTCAGCACTGCACTGCTGAAGGGCACAGGCTTGGCATGCACCCCAAGCTCTGCTCTCCTCAGGTGCTGGGATCACATTGCTCCATCTCCACGCACACACAGCACTGGCAGCACACTACTCCATCCCCACACACAGCACTGGCAGCACACTGCTCCATCCCCACACACAGCACTGGCAGCACACTGCTCTGTCCCCACACACAGCACTGGCAGCACACTGCTCCATCCCCACACACAGCACTGGCAGCACACTGCTCCATCCCCACGCAGTGAAGGTCCCGCTGCTGCCAGGCGCTGCGCAGTGTGCACTGACCACATGGGCCCTGGGAATGGGGTTCATTTTTTCTTGGTTTTCCTCCCGCTGCAGTCTCCCCTGGTTCAGCCTGTTACTGCACTGCTCTGACACTAGCAGTAGGCACAGAAATCGTTGGTTACACAAACACAGCCCCCGACACGGCAACAGCGGGGGAACACGGCACAAAGGGAACTGCTTATAGCAGAGGTAACGAGGTAAAGGCTTCTGCTGTGCAAATGGGAGTTGAAAACAAAAACAGAGCTCTGGCAGAGGCCTGCCGTGCTGTCCTCACCCGGGCTGGGAGCTCCATGCACTGAGCAGGGCCAGCACCGTGGTACCAGCAGCAATGGGAATGCTGCGGTCACAGTGGGCAGCGCGGTGCCTGGAAACCCCGCCGGTGGTGCAGCTGACACGGAGGTAAGCCTGCTGCGTTCCCATTCTCTGGGTCTGTTTGAAGCTGGCATGAATCAAGTCAGAGGGTTAATCCCCACCTCGCAGACACGGCGAACAATGCCATGCTAATGCTTTCCTGTGGATTTGCTAATTCGACTTTTCTTTTCTGGAGACATCAAAGCAGGATCCTGCAGAAGAGAACTTCCTCATCAGCACAGAGAAAAAGGAAATCACTCATTTAGTGGAAAGGATGCAGACATACCCAAGGGAAACATTTCCATTTTCTTTTTATAGCTCTGAAAAAGAACTTAAAAGGGTGCATTCCCTACAGTCTGTGTTCATCGCAGAGAAATGGAACTTTGGGCCCTTCCGCACAGCTGCCCTGTTCTCTGGCCCTATCAATAAGAACGCTGATAAAATGAATGGAACATCATTTTGTCATTCACAGCGTTGTGTAGTTTAAAAAGAGAGGAAGGGAGCCAGGAGGAAACAAAGGACATGCGGAGAGCCCAATACAAATGTCGGAGGAGATTTCCTGAGCACCCAGCCAGCTCTGCGTGTCCTGTGACCCATCCCAGAGAACTGCGGGGTGCCCCACCAGGGCACACTGCTCCAGCACAGGCACTCTGCAGAACTTCTCTCCAGAGGAAGCCTCGAGTTAATTACATTAACGGCAAACAGTGCGCACACAATAGCTCTGCATACAGATCTGCCCTGCTCCCACCTGCTGCTGGCTGCGGGCACAGCGTTCGTGCTCTGCTGCCGGCCCTTGCAAGACACCCAACAGCTTCTGCTGAGCACACTGCAGGGCTGCCAGGAGGCTGCAGACACTTCAACTCCAAAGTCAGCACCAAGTAAAGCTCTCATCGCAGCTGCAGGCAAGACAAAAAGCTCGCAGGCCGACCCAAGGATGGGAGGAGCGAGGCCGAGCAATTCCTTCACTTCACTACATCTGCAAAGGGGCAGTGAGTGAGGGAGCCAGGGCTGCATGGGGCTTCTTGCTGCCCTGCTGGTGGTGCAGAGCAGTGAAACCATCAGACGTGGTTCCATTTCCTGGAGCTAAGAACAAGCCTGTTGTCCATGGGGTTTTGCTGGAGCTTTTGCTACCCTCGGCTTTTATCCAACAGAGTTTAAAAGTTACAGCCTGTGGAACCACCGGGCAGCTCGGAGACGTTCCTGTGCCTCAGTAGCACAAGGTTTTGAGGGCTGCCAGCACCTGGGAGTGCCCACCAACGGACAGGGGCTCCCTGGGAGCAGCAGTGCCCCCAGCACAGCGCTGGGCCCTGCACAGGGGCTCCCTGGCCTTTGCTTCCCTGGGCCCCACAGCCAGCACACGGTCAGCTGCACTGCCACAGCCTGGCGAGGAGCCCTGCGTGGCCCCGCAGGGACAGCTCACGTTTTATGGCACATCTGTTGGTGATGGCTGCCGGTCACCTCACAGGGAAGCGCTGAGCACCTACACGGAGCTGGCGGAGCCACACGGCTGTGGCTGCACATGGCCACAGACTGATGGGCCACGGGTTTCCTCCTATCCCAGCCAAGCTGTTTGTTTAAATCTTCTGCAGAAGTGAATTCCAGAGAGATACAATGCACTAGGGAAAGAACATGTATTGGCTCCAAATGTACTGACCTTCCAATTCGCACTTGGCTACTTGAAAAGTACTGTTGCTAATTATAATTATTACTGCATCAAAGGAAGAGTGCTCAGTTTTAACCATTAGATTTAACTAAGAAGAGTAACTCAAAGCCTCGAAAAGTTGTGTGGAATTCCATTGTGAGCCTTTCAAAAATTACCAGAAAAATCAGCCTAAGAACGTGTTATCCCACCTGAGCGTGCTCTGATCTTTTAGCTCAGTTGATGTCTCCTTGGAAATCAATGGATCTCTGACAAAAAATATCGTGTGCCACACATGTAGTTATATTCTCATCGTGCAATGCAGAAATATGAATAAAAATATCTATCTAAGTGGAAAACTCTAATTGCAAATCAGCGTGCTTTAAGCATGGTATACACCTGGAAAGTGCCTTGTAAAAAGCCAGCTTGGCAGTTCCCCCCCCAGGCCATCAGTGCTCTCTGTACGTGTCACAAATGTGCAATGTGCAGAAATCTGTTGCTACTTCTGGAAATAAAACCCGCAGCCCGTTTGGCCACTGCACACCCAGAGCTCAAAATAACACTTGTGGAGAGCTGCAGCAGCAGGGCGGGCTGCGGCACGGGACAG